TCGTCAAAAAATGTATCTATTAAATATTTAATATAATTTAATTAAATATAATATTATTATACTATTAAATTAATATACTATTAAATATAATTAAATATCCCCACGATCTAATGGATTTAAATCTAGTAATCAACCAATAAATTCTAGCACTTGTTGAAAATCATATATTTTTTATCTCCTCATTTTCATCAAATTATATTTCCCAAGTCAAGAAGTACCTGTCGATATTTTTAAAGTTTGTCGAAAGATTCATTCAATGACGTCTATGATTCAATTGATGATTCATTCAATGACGTCTAAGATCATCCAAACAAAATGTATGGTTTTATTTAAGAAAATAACATTGACCATAAAAACTCTAAAAAATGGTCCTCGGAAAATATATCCCTACCATCATAATTGCACCCTTGAACAATACAACTTTTCCTTCAGGCATTTTTTTATACAATCAAACACAATAGAAATATTTCACAAAGTCATGATATATAGGGCGATCCGGAACAACTTCCTGTCCTTGAAATGAACATGTTCTTGAACGAATTTTAAACCGACTTTTCCCTCTTGCAAAATGTTATCCGAAACTTAGTTTTTGAGTTATAAAGATAAGTAGTTTGCTTATTACGGTTCAAGTACAGGAGGTAGGCAGATATGGTATATCTCTCCATCAACAGACATTTACGTTGAGCAGCTAATGCGATAAGCTTATTGATGCACTCAAAAATATTACACATATTTTTGTAACTTCCATTAGACTGCGATTAACAGAGTATTAACTTATGTTCTTTTTAATTTTGCCCGCCACGAGGAGAAAGGAAAGTCCATTGGAATTTACGATCGAACCGGATGTAAAATTGAAAATAAAACTTTTTAATATTAACGAAGCAAACACATTATAATAAATGGTAAAAGTTGTCATTTTCAGATAAATAATCTTTACGAAGGAATACAAATTCATCGGTTTTCTTAAAAGTAAGAATATTTTATGTTTTTCAAATCGCAATTAACACTCTTTTTCGTTTTTATTTTCCGTTTTTTTCGTTTATATTTTCAAAGCTTATTTCCTAGTTTGGAAATATTCCTGTAATCAAGTACTTTATTCTCAAACGTTAAAACACTTTATTTTTATTTAAATATAATCAATTCAATTTTATAAAATTTTATATAATTTTATACAATTAATTTAATATAATAATTAATTTAAAATATTTCATTCCTTATTACGATTACATTAATACTTGCTTCTTGGCGATCATATTAATCCGTTCATGCCGACCAATATTGCCCTCAATTATTGCATTTTGCTGTGCAATCATATGCGTCTGTGAAAGAAAGAAACGCATATGTGTATGTGTGTGTCAGCTTCGTAGATTTTTTGGTTTGTACCCTTTGGTAATACTCGATATTATTATTAACGGAAGTTATAAAAATGATGTGTGTAATGTTATTAAGTGCATCAATAAGCTCATCGCATTAGACCAGAGCTCGGCAAAGTTTGCAACTTTCGGCCGATTCTCGGGAGCTACGTCTCCTATTTCTCCTTGCTGCGCGGCAGATCAAACTGACGGTCGCGGCTCGCGGCCTCAGAAACGTTGAGATCATAAGGCGCATCTATGTGGTGCCTATTAAAGATGCGTTCGGGGAGCGCGTCGATCAGCGCTAACGTGTTATTCAATCCTTATACATGTAATGAGCGATAAAGATAGAATAACATGTTAGCGTTTTTTTTTAACGCGTCGGCAATAGTACCTCATGGGTGACGCGGAAACCTATTATGTTACCTTCTAATTATAAAAATATAAAAAATATATATATATATATACTTATACAAGTATATATTTGTACAAGTTTGTACGAAATATTATACATATAGTTGTATCGATACATTTATTTTTCAACCTTTGAGGTGTGTTAAAGGAGCGCGCTATCAACGCTAACATATTATTCTATCTTTATCGCTCATTACATGTATTAGGTGCACAAATAAGTTCTCTGTGTTTCTTGATAAAATTCAAGTTTATTGAAAACATACTTGTTACAAAGGTTAATAATTGAAATATTCACTATCACTATCGATGGTCTTTTGTCACTTATCGGGTAGCTTACGGATGCCGTCGCGGTAGAAGCTTGGTGGTTTCGAGGCGAAATAGTTATCGAGCCATTTTCGCAGATTTTCAACTTTTGTGAACCGCTGATCTGCTAAATATGACTGCATCCATTTGAACAGGTGGTACTAGATGCGCAACTAAGTTTCCGGGTTTTCTTGATCAATGAAAAATGGAAAATTTCAAGAGAAATACAAAAAATGGTTTATTCAAAGTATCATCCTTCGCTAGCTACATATTTTTGCCATCTCTCTGGCAATACATGAATACCGCGACGATAAAACAACGCGTCTTTGGACCGAAACCATTTAACCAACCAATTTTGCACTTCTTCGAAAGTGTTGCCCATCCATGCGCCATCGACCGGAACAAGTGATAATCGAAAGGGGTCAGGTCTGGCGAATATGGCGGGTGCGGTAGCAGATCCCATTTCAGCGTTTTGATGGTGTTCTGGACGATGGAAGTGCGATCGCACGGAGCGTTGTCGTGCTTCAATATCACTCGTTCGTGTCTCGTGTCCCATTCTGGTCGTTTTTCGGGCAATGCATGGTTCAAATTGATCAGTTGTTGTCGGTAGCGATGCCCATTGACAGTTTCGCCCGCTCATTTAGCAGCTCATAGTACACGATTCCTTTCTGGTCCCACCAAACGCAGAGCATTGTCTTTTTTCCGAAGCGATTTGGCCGTGCCGTCGATGTTGATGCTTCGCCAGGTGAAGGCCACGATTTTTTGCGTTTGGGATTCTCGAAATATATCCACTTCTCATCGCCAGTAACAATTCGATGCAGGAAACTCTTTCTTTCATGCCGCAAAAGCAAAATTTCGGAAGTGGCTCTTCGATTTTCCATCTGTCTCTCAGTCAACTCATGTACCCATTATCCTTCCTTTTGAATTTTTCCCATGGCATGTAAACGTTTGGAAATACCTTGGCGAGTTATGTTTAATGCCTCCGCAAGTTGATCTTGCGTTTGCATATCATCTTCATCAATAACGCTTGCAGATCAGCGTCCTCAATTGTTTTTGGTCTTCCGGGGCGCTCCTTGTCCTCAGTGTCGAAACCGCCACTTCTGAAGCGTTTAAACCAATTTTCGCAGGTAGTTTTCGATGGTGCATGTTCGCCGTAGGCCTCCTCAATCAAACGACATGCTTCAGCTGCACTTTTTTTCAAATTAAAGCAGAAAAGCAAAGCTTCCCGCAAATGCAGTTTATTTGGCACAAAACTCGACATCTTCGTTGTTAGAAAAAATATTTTTGCGTTGCGGATATGTATTGGTATTACGACTGGTTATTGTTAACATATGTCCAAGCTATAAAAAAAACAACTTCAGACATGTATGTCGACTACATGTGTCGTTAGCGCCATCCATGTGTGAAACCCGGAAACTTAGTTGCGCACCTAGTAATCAGATGGAGCCAGATCTGGAGAATAAGCCGCATACGGGAGAAGTTCCCAGCCCAAGTTGAAGATCACTTCCTTGGTTGCTTTTGCTGCATGCGGATGAGCGTTGTCATGAAGCAAAATCACTTTTCGAGTTCTTTTTTCCTTAAGCGCGTCTCTCAGTTTGACTTAGTTGAGCTTGATATCATTCATAATAGTTTCACCAGGTTTTAGAAGTTCGTAGTGGATGATTCCCTTCCAATCCCACCAAACACCAAACACCAACATTTTTCGCACGAACTCTCACAAACCACTTTCTAACTGTTTCATAACTTATTGCATTTTCACCCCAAACCAACTTAATCATTTCAGTAGCTGCAGCTGCATTTTCTTCCAGTTTAAAACAGAATAACGTGCAATGCCGTAAATGTTGCTTGTTGACATTCGTCTCTTTACACTTGGATACACACTGAACGACATCTCGTAAACAACTGAAACTTATATCGTATAAACACCAATGTCAGAGCTATATATACCCAAGATAGCGGGAGAAATGAATGCGTTTCAGTATGTTTTATAAAGCAATCAACTTCAACACAGAGAACTTATTTGTACACTTAATACAAGAATTGAATGACGCGTTAGCGCTGATCGACGCGCTCCCCGAACGCATCTTTAGTAGGCACCACATAGGTGCGCCTTATGATCTTAACGGTCCTGAGGCCGCGAGCTGCGACCATCAGTTGTGTGATCCGCCACGCAGCAAAGGGAGATAAGAGGCATAGCTCCCGAGAATCGGCCGAAAGTTGCAAATTTTGCCGAGCTCTGCATTAGACACTCAACGTAAACGCCTGTATCTAACAGTGACTTATTCTGTCCTTGCCTACTTCCGGTATCTGACCCGTAATGAGTAAACTACTAATCTTTATAACTCAAAAACTAACCTTCGGATAACATTTTGCAAGAGGGGAAGTTGTCTTAGAATTTGTTAAAAAATGTAATTTCAAGAATATAAGTTGTTTTGAATCACCCTATACGTAACGACAATATTATAAGACACATCAAAGTTGTATAAAAACTACAAACTGCGACAAATATACTATATAAATTATATCTTTAAATTATGTTCTGTGACACTAATCTATTATATTTTCTAAACGTCTTTTGTTAATAACATTTGATAAACAATGGGCGATGAAGCGTTGAAACAAACTTTTCGATAATTATGTAAGCTTTGACAACATATGTTAAAGTCATCACCATCTAACTTTAATGTTTCCTAAATGTCAAATATAAGTATAAATATAAATGTAAATGTTTATCAGAAACTAATTGACTATAATTCATTAGTATTCGAAAAGCGCGCGTAGAGAGAGAAAGAGAGAGAAAGAGAGAGAGAGAGAGAGGGAGAGAGAGAGAGAGAGAGAGAGGAGAGAGAGAGAGAGAGAGAGAGAGGAAGAGAGAGAGAGAGAGAGAGAAAGAGTTATTTCTCTGATAAAATATTTTTTTATATTTTGCAGTTTCTCTTAGTCCCGGATATACACAAAATAGTAATGGCTGCGGGTATGTTCTTTTAAATAAGTGACATATGTAATTTATCTTAAGGATGAACAGAAATTACGGATTCAGATTTTATATTCTGAGGATCTGGTGTTGTTGTAATTTGTTACTATTGTAATCCAATTGCGTATGTTTATGTGCATGCTATATGTAGACTAATGCATCGGTTACATGCTTCCAAATGAATTATTGCGAATTTTTAAACTTAATTCTGCAATGCGAAATATATTTATTGTAAATGTATTTAAATCGAGATCATGACCTTTTTATTCGTAAATCTCAAATAAAAAGATAGCTTAAACTAAATACCTTTTTGATAAAAATTGATACAACAAAAATTTTATTATTAAAATCGAAATGTTAAAATCTACATATTTCCTTTATAAAAAAGAATACAACGTAATAATGAGATGACAAGACACCTTTCTTTTGACAATTTATTTAATCATATTAGCATTCATTATTTCATTTTTCTTTATTGTTATACAATAATAAACGTGTTTGTTATTTTCATGTGACAATTTATGGATAGATATACGTATATAGAGAGTGTCTCAGAACTTTGGTAGACGGGCTCCGTAGGGACATAAAGCTAAGTGAGAGGAACAAAAAGTCCTGTATAATGTGAAAATCATAATAGTTTTTAATTATAACAGCGCAAAGTTAGGCGTTTTCCATGCCCAGCGCGGCCTATAGACGCACCGCGGCAAGCTGTGTGCGTAGGGGCTGAGCGATAACGCGTCTCGCACTGACTGTCGTGAGGACGTCTTGGCGCTTTGACGCCGCCATTTTTGTTTTTTGCGCAAGCCATTTCCAAGATATGAAGCTTCAAAGTTGACATATCGCCGGCATTCGCATTACCCAAGGTGTACCGCGTGGAGGTTGCACGGTCGGATTTACGCCTCTTGTGTGTATGTGTGTGTAACGGCAAGAAAATAACTAATGTAAGGGGAAGGAGAAGAAGAATGGTGGAGAAAGAGAGAGAGAGAGAGAGAGAGAGAGAGAGAGAGAGAGAGAGAGAGAGAGAGAGAGAGAGAGAGAGAGAGAGGAGAGAGAGAGAGAGAGAGAGAGAGAGAGAGAGAGAGAGAGAGAGAGAGAGAGAGAGGGAGAGAGGAGAGAGGGAGAGAGGGAGAGAGGGAGAGAGGGAGAGAGGGAGAGAGGGAGAGAGGGAGAGAGGGAGAGAGGGAGAGAGGGAGAGAGGGAGAGAGGGAGAGAGGGAGAGAGGGAGGAGGGAGGAGGGAGGGAGGAGGGAGGGAGGGAGGGAGGAGGGAGGGAGGGAGGGAGGGAGGAGGGAGGGAGGGAGGAGGGAGAGAGGGAGAGGGGAGGGAGGGAGAGGGGAGAGCGGGAGAGAGGGAGAGGGGAGGAGGGAGAGAGGGAGAGAGGGGAGAGAGGGGGAGAGAGAGGGGAGAGAGGGGGGAGGGAGGGAGGGAGAGGGGGAGGAGGGGGAGGAGGAGGGGGGATAATTTTGACTGAAAAAACACATACACACAAAATTGGTCCTTTTTAGGGCCACAACACACGCACACACACAGTGGAGAAGGTTTGGAATCAAAAAATACTACGGGAGTGACGAACCGTGGAGTCCTTATCTCTACTGTGACACACACACGCACACAGACAGACAGATATACACACGTACACACAAGAGGCGTAAATCCGACCGTGCAACCTCCACGCGGTACACCTTGAGTAATGCGAATGCCGGCAATATGTCAACTTTGAAGCTTCATATCTTGGAAATGGCTTGCGCAAGCAACAAAAATAGGTAGTGTTTTGAAAACGTCTGGACAAGAGCTACAAGAATATGTAATAGAAGGTTCTATTTAAGAAAACATCGATTACATTGATCTGGCCTTGATAAAGTCACTCAAGGTTAAGTCCATTTTTTTATCATGTATCCCCCTCAATATCCTACAACTTTTGTCTGAAACATTTTTCCATATTTAAAACCGTTTCCGAGATCCAGGAGTGGGGTCGGACTTTATAGATACCCTGTATATGTGTGTATATATATTATGTGTGTATAAGTCGCAAAACGAGATAAAAGAAAAACGACTGTGTATACTTGCTTGACTTTCTTGTTATTTTTCATATAATCTCTCTGCACACACACATATCCAGATACCTATCCCATCATTTGACAAGTCCTTGAAAGCCGGCAGCAAAGGTTTTCGGCTGCTTGTGCAGCCAATGAGTACCCTCGCAGGGAATAGCTCCATCATCGTCGAAATAGCGACTACTCAGGTGATCTTTGAAGGGTCCAAATAGATGGGCCACCTTATATAGCCTAAACTTAGAACCCAGTAACTTTAATCTATTTAGGTCCTTCAAAGATTGTTGTTTCCACGACGATAAAGCTTACTAACAATGACATTTGTTGGTTGTATAAGCCAAAAACCTTCTTTATTGCCGACTTGTCAAATGATGGGATAAGTGTTTGAATGTATATGCAGAGGGATTATGTAGAAAAATAACAAAAACGAATCAGGCAATAACAAAAAAGAATATTCGCAGTCGTTTCTTTTTATCCCGTTTAGCAACTTATACAGGATGTATAAAAAATACCGGGACGGCGAAATATTTCGAAAACTAAGTATTTTAGAAAAAAATGTTTTAGACCAAAGTTGTATAGTTTCAAGGGGAACGTAGAACAATTGTATAATTTTGTTTACAGATGGCGCTAGTTTTGAGATATTCACTAATCATTACTTTTCGTAAATAGAATTAAATGGAAACTCCAATTTTTTTTATTATATCAATTATATCATCTTTTTCTATCAATTAATTTCAATAACTTTTGTTTGAAACATTTTTTTATTCATCTAATATTTTTTGAGATATTTAAGTGGTAAATTTAGTAACTCTTTCAATATTTAACTTACGATATCTCGATAACTATTTGTCGGGAGAAAAAATAGTACTAGACTTTTTATTCTATTTGGTCTCAAGAATGTATTGTTACAATAATGCCCTAACTTTTTTCAATTTGATGATTATGAAATTTCTAAAAGTCGATAAGTTAATAAAGATTAGGGCACTATTGTAACAATATATTTTTAAAACCAAGTAGAGTAAAAAAGTCTAATACCACTATTTCTTCCGATAAATAGCGAGATATCATAAGTTAAATATTGAAAAAGTTTACTCAATTTTTCTTAAATATCTTAAAAAATATTAGGCGAATAAAAAAATATTTTAGAGAAGTTATTAAAATTGGTAGAAAAAGATGATATAATAAAAAATTAGGATTTCTATTTAAGAAAATAATGATCAGTGAATATTTCAAAAGTGGCGCTATCTGTAAACAAAATGATATAATTGTTTTATGTCCCCCTTGAAACCATGCAACTTTTGTCTGAAACATTTTTTTCTAAAATACTTTGTTTTCGAGATATTTCGCCGTCCCGGTATTTTTAGTACATCCTATATATCGATTTACACTCATTAAACAGCTGTTTTACCTAATCTTTTAGCAATATATACTACAGCTGAATAAAAATCGAATTATTTTCATTGTTCAAATAGGCTAGAAAAATTCGAGTGCCACGACGGAGAATGTATAGCGGGTGAATTATTATGCGACGGAAAAGCAGATTGTAAAGATGAATCTGATGAGACAGTGATCGAATGCACCAAACCAGAGCTTTTATGTCCTGATTATGCCTTTCGGTGCAAATATGGTGCATGTGTAAATGGTGACGCTGTATGTAATGGTGTCAAAGACTGTATTGATAATAGTGATGAAACGTTGCCCCAATGCAAAACAGGAAATAATGGAACCACAAGACCTTCACGATGCAGAAGAGATGAATTTATGTGTGACAATGGAGAATGCATTAATAATATTTACGTGTGTGATGGAATATCACAATGTGCGGATGGCTCCGACGAAGTGGCTGCGAAATGTATGTCGCTTAGGTGAGTAATTCCACTTTTTTGTTGCTAATACTTTTTGTATTTTGGGGAAGCGTGGGAATAGAAAAAAATTAAAATACGTGTTTTGTTATTTAAAGCGGCTAACATTTTTACTGAAAGAACTTTCCCCTGAGAGAGAGTAAATGAGGAGCAACTCGAAAATTGTAGCATAGGAAGAAAAATTAACACAGTACTCCTAAAAGAATATTTCATTTAGAATATATATTCGCATACAAAAAAGAAATAATAAAAAGCTGCTCCATATATGATATGTCAGATTTAAGTGGATATGCATAATTATTTTGTAGAAAATTAAAAATACAAAAAAATTTTCCAAATAAAAGTCATTTAGTTGGAAAGAGGGGGTAAAAAATATGGCGCAATTAATTTTTCCATGATAGGAAGTACAGAGGATATTTCAAGGTCAGCTGAGTTTTTGTAAATAGGATGCAGTATTTTTTATTCATAGCGTAATAACGATTATCGAATATAATGACCGTAATTAAAAATTATTCAAGATTATGCAAGATCGTAAATTAACCAAATATTTATTCATACTCTTTACATTTTTTAATGTATGTGTGTAGTTCGGGATGACAAGAATATTTTACTATATTTTATATTTAATATTTTCTTCAACATACATCCTCTGTCATTAAGTATACAACTCTGCAATCTTCTCAGAAATCCTAATTTTACACGTTTCACTATCTTGTCACTTATTTTTATATTGCAACTATGATCCTCATATGTAATTTGTTAATATTTTCTATGATGTTTAAAAAATTGTTTTAAATAATCTTACGGTTTTAAATAATCTCACAGAAAAAAGTCGCATATTAATATTGATAAAATAAAATAAGTTTTATCTGGCAATAACTTAGCAAACACAGATATATGACTGTTACATAACAAGATAAAACGGAATGTAACACGCAATATAACACTTATATAGTATAGTAGATTATATAGACATTAGTAATAAGTTCCTACTCATATAAATTATAGTTATATAACGGAAACATAATTCATAAATGATATGTTATTAAAAGATTATATTTATACTAAATTACTATACATAATACATTTTTGTTGAATTTTGACAAATTTATTTATTCACATGGTTTGGACAATTTAATGCTTTATTATTTAATTTAAATAATGAAAAGAATCCCTTTCTAGAAAAGGCATGTCAACATTGTGAGTTTATTTTTTATCGAAACGTTGAAATCTCTTTTCTGCGTTGCTAATTGGTTGTAATATCGTGCCTTACTTCATTGTACATGCACTGTCGTGCATTTTGACAATTCGTGGTTAAACTTTACGAGATTTTGCAGCTTTTTGAGTACTGAACTGATTGACTTTAAAATTTACTTATTCAAACCGCAGTTATTTTTTTATTGTGCAAATGTTTTTTTTTAATATAGTATAAAAGCTAAATAGAGCGCACGCATAGCATGCGCCTATAGTGTTCTAGTCCCTTTTTAAAAAAAGCATGTCAACATTGTGAATTTATTTTATATCGAAACGTTGAAGCCGTCCGTTTTTCGCGATGCTAATTGGCTGTCGCATCGCGCCTTACTTCATTGCACATGCATTGTTGTGCATTTTGACAGTTTGTAGTTATCCGTGGTTAAATTTCACGAGATTTTGCAGCTTTTTGAGTACTAAACTAATTGATTTTAAAATTTATTTATTCGAACCGCACTTATTTTTTTATTGTGCAAATGTTGCATTCTTTTTAATATAATATAAAAGCTAAATAGAGCGTGTGCGCAGCGCGCGTCTATAGTGTTCTAGTTAGTGTATTATATTTTGTGTCGTTGCATTCGTATATGTGTCTCGTGTTGTTTCAAACTTGTAATTAATATTAGCGGTTATCTATCTTCTTGGATGACTGTGCTATTCAATGCTTGACTTCAATGATCGTGTCAGATCTGGTAGTGGCAATGAGTTCTGACGAAACCTTCCCAGTAAACACAGTTACATAACAGTTACATTGTCGTAAAGTAACGAAATGTGACACGTAATATAACGTGTATGTTACAAGCAACATATATGTTAGTTGTAATTTCCCATTCATAGAAAGTTGCAGTTATATAACAGAAATATCACATGTTACTAAAATGTTATATAGCTATTATATAACTGTAATATTATTGTTATATAAAAAATTACTCCTAATTTTCTCGTGTCTTGCGTCCGTCGATAGCTTCGATTCGAAGCGGTTCATCCATCCATGTGCTGACCACACTAAATTTTATTTAACTTGATAATCGAGTGGCATGCAGTGATCCCAACGACTCCAACGATGTTTTTGTGACTTGTATTTATATAATGTATCCTTATAATATTCACAGAACTTTCTTGTAAAAAAATTAAAACAACGCAACAACATTTGATATACAATGAATATCAGTATAGGCCGTGTTTCAAAATTGATAATGGAGCATGGATAATGGAGCAAAATTGAAAATGGATAATGGAAACTGATAATGAAGCATTATAATAGTAAAGCCCTCAAAAATATAATTTGAAACAAATTCAAGGAAGTCTAAGTAAAAAATTTTAATTATTAAATTAAAAAAAAAACTTTTGAAAAATATGACCTCAAATCGTGCTTTTCATCAATATGGTTTTCTTCAATGAAAAAGTTTTTATTTTTAAAAATGATATTGTAAAAATATAATATTTTAATGAAACAACTCAAAATCAAACAAGTAAGAATATTAAACCTAAAGAAATTTTTTTCTGTGCGAGTTTTGTATAATATACAAGCATTCTTAAACGTTTATAAACGTTTAAATAGTATAAGTGCGGATATGCCTACGGAAACAGGAACGTTGTGTCCACGTGAAATCCATGTGGTTTTGTGGATTCCACGTGAATGCAACGTGCGTTCCATGTAGATTCAACGTACGTTTTTGTGAGGATATACATATCAGTATGCATTATGAACGTCAATACAAATAGGCAATACGGTCTACTCAAGCGCGATGAAGATATTAAAAATATAGAAAAACATAGAACTATATACATATATACACAACAAAGCATCTACAAAGCATCCATAAAGAAGCGGAACCGAATTTCTGATTGATTAGCCTTCCATCATATCTACTTAATATATAATTTTGAAAATCTCATTAACTATTTAAAATCAAGAAATGTGATATGTACGGAAATTCAATGTTCTCGGTGTAGTTATAAAATAGTTTACAATTATGATGAATCCTATTTGATGCAATATGAAAATAACTATTATAAGCAATTTAATAGAAAAAAAGAAACAAAGGAGGAATTATACCTTTAAAGTAAGTATTATAAAATCATCGTAGCTCGCGAAAGCACATATAATCCATGTAACGCATGTGTTATATAACAATTACATTGTTGAGTAGAAAATTACAACTAACAAGTATGTTACATGTTACATTGTGTTTACTGAGAAGTTTAATTAACGCTTATCGTATAATTGCATATTTATCTAATGATAAATACACTACATATACAATTATTGATGTCAGAGTATAATAGAGTTGTTTATTAATTTGTTTCTCTATTAATTCTTATTAACATAATTTTAAAGTTAATAGCGCAATGGATTTTCGATAATAATATACAAATCGAAAGTTTGAATAAAATTGTTGAGATTGATGAGACAAAAATTAATCGTAGAAAATTGTGCAAAAAATGTATCGTAACGGAACTGTGGATATTTGGAGGCATAGAACGACAGTTTAAAAAATTTTTCATAATATTTGTTGAAAATAAAAAGTCTGAGACTCTCATTCCAATTATTCGATGTTATATTGCACCTGACACGACTATTTATAGCAATTGTTGGCGAGTATACGATGCTTTAAAAAATGAAAATTACATTCATGAGACAGCGAATCAAAGAGAATTTTGTTAATCCAGCAACTGAGATACATACACAAAACATTGAGCGACTTTGGAGGAACGTAAAATCTCTCATACTTCAATACGGTACACGGAATAGACATTATGTGCATTATTTGGCCGAATTTAAGAGAATTTATCCTTTAGAGCAACATGTCCATGAATTTTTCAATATTATGGCTTACTTTTATAAACCAAGTAATGATGAATAATCTGCAGAAATATAAATCGAACACTCCATTTACTCAACGTACGCTTAATGACAAATTTTCTTTATTTAATCTTTATTTATTAATTAAATAAATCTTTACTTATTAACTAAAACAGACTTTTAATTATTGTATATTATTACATAAATCTTTCGCCTTATTAAATTAATGAGTCTACTACATACTAAAATAACAGATTCTGAGAAAATTAGTATTGTATATAGTATAGAGTAAAGATCCCTACACAAGGTTTTGCATTTAGATCTTTTGCCTTTCTAAATTCATGAGACTATCATAGTGCCTAATTTTGCGTAGGTATCTTTGCTAATTTTCTCAGAATTTGTTATTTTATTGTTATATATGTTATATATGCTAGATTCATAAATTTACTAAGGCGAAAGATTTAAATGCCAAACTTTGCGTAGGTGTCTTTGCTAATCTTCTTAGAATTTGTTATTTCAATATTCAGAGTGTCCTGTAAGTCGAGGTCAAAATCGTTCAGGAGATAAATGGGGGTCTAGAAACAAGAAAGAAAAAAATTAAAGTCAAATAAAAGTGATGAACTGTGGAGTCCTAATTTCTGTCAAGGGATGCTAAGCGGAATATCTTGATAGTATCTTGATAGTGCTAAAGCAGCCCAAAACTTTTATTTGATTCTATTTATGTTTAAAACTCATAAAAACCATCTCCTGTTTCAACTTTGACAAAAACTCAAAAGCAAAGCAATTTCAAATTTCAACGTAAGAATGGCGATAACTTGAGAACAACGCATTTCAGGATCTATGTTTATATCAATTTTCTTTCTTGTTTTTGAATCTCCATTCATCTTCTGAATGATTGATCTCGACTTACGGGACACTCTGTATAGTAGGCTTATCAATTTAGTAAGGCAAAAGATTTAAAAAAATATACTTCACTTGCCGCTCACAGGTATGCTTATTTTTTCAAACTTCTTTTGTTCGTAACTTTTTTATAAAAAGCGACCACTACTTAAAACTTACAGAAAGTTACTCTGGAACATGTCCTTGATAACATATATGAAGGTCAAAGAAATCGGAGCTGATACCAGTACTCTGCGCATTTACCTAATATTGTATATATTTATAAGTAATATAACAGTTATCTTATAACCATCAATTGGTTTACAGTTGTTTACCGACAGCTTTCCGTTGCGCTTATGGAGCTTGTATTGACGGCGATCTACGTTGTAACGGAAAAGTCAATTGCGTTGATGGATCCGACGAGGATTCACAATTGTGTAGTGGAGCTGCATGGCCATCAGCGTTCCCACCGGGACCGACATCAACTACTACAGTTTCTCCTGTGACGCCTATAACATCTAGTACACCGAAATCTTGTAAAACACCTTCACAACCACCAAATGGTCATTGGAAACTACACCGATTGCAGTGTGATCGGAATGATCAGGATTGTAATATACCAGAAGGAGTAGAATTACCAGTAGGATCTCAACTTGTCTACTCTTGTAATTCGGGCTATAAAATAAGGGGTACTACCGACGTGGGTTGCAGTTTTGAAGGAAAATGGCTCAATATACCAGTTTGTATAGGTATCAAAATAATATTTTATTTTTCAGAACATTTATGCACATAAAGTACTTATTTAAAATATATTAAGTATATATACATAAGTATATACATATAAAGAAGGATGATAACAATTTTGATGGTTCCTGAGCTCCTTTTTTCTCATGATTTAAACGTGATAAAAATTATTTGTTACAAGATTCTGATCAAAAGTTGTTAAAAGAGTTTTTCTGCGGTTATACAGAAATGGTCATAATGGTTTTAAAATCCTTTTTTAGAAAATATGCTTTGTTGGCTTTTTTGTCTTGTTTCTAAAGATTCACGGTATCTTTTACTGATGTTATCTTATTTAAATTCCAATAAGCTTTCAATGGATTCTATTAATTGCATAATAATGCATGTTTATACATTGTTTACGTATATATTTATTGGTACCTATTCTTCATTTATTTTATTTATCACTATGCATAATAAATATACACTATTATTTAATATTATTATTTATATTATTATATAATATTAATATTATTGTTGATGTTATTATATTTATATCAATACTGTATTTACATTATTATTCAATATGTACTATTATGACCTACTCACAGGAGATAATACTCTCATTCGAATCCGAATATAGTCACGCCATTCTGAAAGTACAAAGTATTTGGTTTATATTTTGATTAATAAGAATCGAGCAGTTTTAGATGTCATAGTAAGATATTGCTGTCATAAGAATAGTCTTAATATAATGGATTGTTGCGCTCACATTATGGCAGTATTATGATATTTAGAATATGGTAGGCATTTTTTGTCTACTCCACTGCCAGCAAGTTTCCTGGATGCAATGATTGCAATCATAGAAAGTAATGATTTGAATAATAGTAACAAAAAATTAGCATTCTATACTTTGCAAATTCCAATGTTACTCATCTCTTCTCTATATTAGTTCCAAATTTAAGATGCTGATCACTTTAATCTTTGAACATAAGGTGTTGAATACGTTTTTTTTCACTTGAATAAAGAACTCAAATGATCATTCTCTTTTAAGAAACATATATTTGCCGGTATTTAAAAGGAAATAATAATTAAATAAAAATAAGTTTACAATTTTTAAATATCTAAGATTTTAATATAACAATTATACATTATCGAAATTTTGTAATATGTACACATATTATTAGAATTTCGTACATGTATTAATGATTTTTAATCTTTTTTTTTTTAATAGAAATACGCTGCGAAGCTTTAAGCACGGCATCGACCGAGGCTTTATGTACGTATAACAACGATTGGGCGTCGTGTGAGTCTTCAGTTTTGCCAGGTACAACAGCGACCTTGTCTTGCCGAAACAGTTATCAGCGTGAGACAAAATTTTCGAGCCGGAGAGATCAAGTGAGATGTGACACGGACGGTAAATGGGTACCGGATCCTATACGATGCATTCCAGGTCCGATTTCGATAAATATATATTTTAATAATAGTCAACTTATGTTACAAACACCTTTAGATAAAGAAGGTCCTACATTGATTGAAATTTCGAATGATAGAATCATTATACACACAAATCAACAAAGTTTAATTGACTTAAAAGGAGTTGAAGAAACAAAAACACAAATAAATACAGAAAGATCAAACAGAAGATTAACAGAAGACTCTTGGGCATGGTCCTAAGAGATGCCATAGTTGAAAATTTTATTAGCGGAATATTTTTTCTTTGAGGCTTGATTTAGGCTTGATAGAATAAAAATAAATGCATAAATGAATTGGAATCTTATCCAATTTATGACGAAGAAGGAAAAGATTTTTATATAATAAGTTTTTAGCAATTTAAAAAAATTTAAATTTTCGTTAAAATTTTTTTCCTAGTTGCCAGTTATAATAGAAAAAAATTTATATTATGAAAGTTTTATAGTTTATACAAGTGGTCTGACGTAAGATGTTCAAGCTTGCATATGAAAGTAGAATACGTTAATTTGAATACAGAGAATTGTCATTTTGTAAACAACTACGTGAAATTTCGAAATATTTATAAAAGGAGATTGGCGAATCAGTGCAGGCAACGCTATAGGACAAGCCCTGCAGATGCGAATTCTTCGAAAATAGTTGAGATACGACTGCCTCTTAGCAATGGTAGCTATTGACTGGCAACTAAAGGCGGAGTAATATAATGCGAGTGACACACAAACAATTATTATTTTGCTTTTAATTGCTAACCAATATTTGACGTCGTTTCTCAACTAATTTTAGAAAATTCGTGTTTACAGATCTCATCCTACAGCGTCGCCTACATTGATTCGCTAATCTTCTTTTATTAATATCTCAAATTTCATTCACGTTCTAGCTTCACGCGTAGATTTGAACGTCTTGTGTCAGATACTTTGTATATAGTCAGGCATTCTGTATGATACTCTGTATGTTATTAAAAAGGGATTCAGGACTCACAAAATGGTGGAAAATTATTTTAATAAACATACCTAATCAGGACCATAACGTTGATTTGACGTTGAAATAGTCGATGAACCGTTGAATCAATCTCTATCGACGTCAAATCAACGTTGCGGTTCTGACTGGGATAGATAACAAAAATTAATATTATGGAAGTTATGAACAATTATTTATTTTAATTAAAATAACTGACTTATTCGCCTCTGGTACATGGTTATACATGAAATGCATTTTTGCCATTTCATAATTAGAATAATTAGAATATTATAATTTCATAATTAGAATGATGTCATTCTTACTATAAAAACCTTATGATAATTCTCTGTTCACTGTTTACAAAAATATGTGACTAACAATTGCTTGGTTAAGCGTGTGTATAAATGGGAAAAAAATATTAAGTGTGTGTATAAGTTTCCAGAGCTACCTTTCAATATCTAGGTAAAGCTATCTGGGAAAAGAAAGTAAGAAAATTAGGTGGAGTTACATAGATTGATACCTCATTTATCGATAAAACGAGTTCATAGTTAATTGGTCATAGCTGTTGACAAGATGCACATTCGACATTGCATGTTATTCCTTTTCAATCTTGAAAAGTCTGCTGCAGAAGCCAAAAGAACAATTGACGAAGTGTATAGGAAGGACAGCGTTGGTACAAGTACAACATGATCCATTTTCTAAAAAATTAATTTTCATTTTCAATAAAAAACGCTGGAAACTTGTGCACACACCTTATAGATGTTTGTTTATATTCCGAGCAGAAACGAACACAGCAAACATGTAACATATCTGTTAGTTGTAATTTCCTACTCAACAATATAACTGTTATATAATGCGTACGTGATATAACAGTTACATTATTAAGTAGGAAATTATAGCTAACAAGTATGTTACATTACATATGTGTTTATTATTACATTATATTTGCTGGGAAGAGACTTATTTGAGATTCCTTTAATGGTACTTTCTTCATCAATCATCAAAATAATATGGACAAATTATATCAAAGAATAAAAAAGCACCAGAAGCGAGTTATTTACTTTAAATAAAATAAAATAATTGTTCACAATTTCGACAATATTACTTTTTCGATTCATATTTATTAGGACGTTTTTCCTCTATTTTGTGAATAATATATTCACTGCCCTTAAAGTTCTGAATTCTTTTTCTTTAAATACTTTTTTTTTAAATATACGAACGGCTTAAACAGCACAAATTTCTAAAAGACATTTAGAAACATATTTATTTAAAATATATATTTATTTAAAATATATATTTATTTAAAAAAATATTTATTTAAAAACATATATTTTATTTGTTTTAAATGTCTTTGAGATGTTTTGTTGACAATATGTTAAAAAATGTATTATGATGAAATGTAAAATATCTACTTTCTGTGATGATCTTACTTTAGTATTTTTATATTCAGAATAGCTTGAGATATCGATTTATCTTTAACATATTCTGTTTAAAAATTTCAAAGTAACTTTAATGTGACCTTGATGGAGCAGATTAAGATTTTCCTAATTCTACAATAACGGTCTTGTAAGTGAATATATCGTTATTGTAGAATTAGGTACCGTTTCTCCTGTTAGATACCGTAAATAACTATTTTTCATCTATATACGCTTCGTTGAAACTTTAATCAAATTTTCATTGGTAATTGACACATTCGAACCCGTGTTTTAAATGTACATAACTTCCTGTCTAAACTTCTTCAATAACTCTCTTAGTTTAGTTGCTGGTTGACCAAAACAAAGATATTCTGCAGAGAAATGTATGTATGTATGTATGTGTGTATATGTGTGTGTCTCGCGCTCTCACACTACCAATATTCCTTTTTCGAATCAAATTCTTACTTCTAAAATCTCTGTTTTTAGTAACTATAAATTTTATTTGCCGACTTTTCCTTTCAAATTTCCTGTCTGTATTTCTTTTTTCGACAATATCAGCACTTTTTAAGTTTTTAAATCCATTTTCCTTCTGCAAAATATGATTTTCTGGGAAACTATTTCCCCGAATTTCCTGAACAGTTTATGTTCTTTCAGTCACTGCTTTAAGAGAACTATATCCTTCCAAGTGAAGCATTTACTCCAGGCAACTATCAGTCAATGCGAATATAAACTATATACAAGCTATTTTATCACGAGTTTCAAAAAGATACTTCAGATATGTTAATTATGTTAAACGTTTCAAATCTGCACCTAATGAAGAAAAATTTTTACCGGATTTCTGTTCTCCATTAATAAATTGGGTAAATATAACTGAGCAGTGTTTGTTTTTCCCCGAAATATAATTTCTATTTAGTTTTTAATTTGTTAAACCAATCGCGCTTTCTTACGGAGATTTGAAGCAAGCGCTACAGCTTTGATAGATTCAACTCTCCTCCGATGCCTTCTGATGCTGGATCCAGCTGATCCTCTTGAAGTGTTCGAATTGTCCTCATCGTTGCTTGTAATGACGCCTCCTGAATCTCGACCGGCTCTGGCGCTATGACGTAAGGCAATCCCGGACTGCTCGCGAAAATCCCGGTTGACCTCTGATGTCCTTCTCCGAGATTACCATTGTCGTCTGGCTTCTAATTTTTCTTTAAAAAGTGCATCATCTCATTGACATCTTAACCTTCTCATTTTTTTTATATTCACAATCTAAAACATTCACGTGCTCGCTCGTTTTTCGCCTGTGATTTTGAAGGAGCTTTCGAAAGCTTGCACCTATTCGCTCACGCTTGCGTCCAGGAATGAAATAAATATACTCCTTAATAAAAGAAACGTTTAATGACGATCTTTAAAAAGCTTCTATAGTCTTAATCTCACGTTAGCACGATCCGAAGGCTCGTATACGACTCTTATTTTTTTCTACTGTCACGGAGAACACGCTATTCGTTTGCTCAGTATCCAGATTGTCTCGTCATCTTGTCAACACTAGGACTATCGATAGAAATTGATTCACCCTCGAAAACGGGGATGTAACAATATCAATAGTAAGGGACTGTTTAAATGTTTTGGAGTGATATTTGATTCGAAACGAATGAAAGTGGTAATATTAATATTTTCATTTGAAACAATAGTGAAAATACTGTTATTCGAAATAGCAATAGTGAATGTTTTATTCAAGCCTAAACCTCTATAACATCATGCAATTTTGAAGTCACATACTGATATATCGATATTATTAACTTAAATTATATACGCATGTATGGATATTGTACCCTATTGTAACTTCCAAGTCTTTCAAAGCTTTTTTCCTGAATAAAATCTTAAAAATTATAAATTAATTGTTAATTTAAGTCTGGAAATTAATATTTGCTTGTTTCATGTTACATAATTTTTTTACTCACGAAAAGAATTGAATCATGAAAAGTTAAAGTGATTTCTGAATTTGTATGAGCGAATGTTTCGATCGATTAGAGTGAATATATTCTTGTTGCGGTAAAATATTAGAAGATTGCATTGAAAGCCGCTGTTTTTTGTGTTTTTTGAACATTTATTTTAACAACAAAATGTGTGAGTATATTAATCAAAGTATTTGCCTACAAAAGCTATGAATTTGTCCTACTTTTCTGGCAGAAGTTGAATTCTACGACGAAAGAACGGTCTGTCTTTTGAGCCAATTCATTCACCAACCCAATTTTTACTTCTCCGTAATTATGGAAATGTATATCTTCCAAAGCGTGTTGCATCGACTATAAATGGTAATCGCTTCGCGCCAGATTCGAAGAATACGCTGGGTGAATCTCTCATTCGAGCTCCATCAGTGTTTGTTTCACGGCTATAATAACGGGGCCGAGCATTGTCATGGAGAAAAATCACTTTTCGGCGACTTGATTCAATTGATGGTCGTTTTTGTATCAAATTATCATTCAAACGCTCCAATTGTTGTCGATAACGTTCGGCAGTGATTGTTTCGTTCGGTTTCAACAGCTCATAATATACGATTTCTTCCATATCCTACCAAATAGAGAGCATTGCTTTGTGATCGTGGATGTTTCGCTTTGGTGTCAAC